TGTTACTGTAGTTCTAAAATTAATATGAATATGCATTAATTCATCTCGCTCAAAAAAAACCCCTCACAGATTCAGTATTCCTCAAAATGAATAAAAATAATGCAACTCAGAATATGACGCAAATCTGCAATAATTAAATGTTAAACAACACAAATATGCTTTATGTATTTAATCCCATTCTATTAACCAATGTCTTTGCTTCTGACCTTCGATGATCCAGTTCAACCGTACTGATAAGCACAAATTACTCTAGACAAACATTTGTGTTTTTTTTTTATTGCTGAAGTGTTGAAATGTCTTCTTCTGTATTCTACTGTACGGACGTAAATGTACTTTCCCTTCAGCCTGAGGCGTATTCATTTCACTTTTGGTGTGAAAAGGCTTTTATATTCGCCAAAAATATAACTTTTTTATTTTAAAAACAAGCAAGCAAGCCCTGTCCAGATTTTAAAAGTAGCGCAAAAGTAACGTGACGCATTACTTTCCATAAAAAGTAACAAAGTAACGTAATTAGTTACTTTTTTATGGAGTAACGCAATATTGTAATGCATTACTTTTAAAAGTAACTTTCCCCAACACTGGTGTTTATGTAAACAGATCGCCATCCACAAACATCCACTTTCATCTTCTTTTCTTCAACTTTCTCCTATGAACTGTAAGATTTGAGGATCTGGAAATAGAAATGCAGAAGACACTGATTTTTTGCCATGTATATAAGGCTAATGCAGTGGTTCTCAAATGTTTTCAGGTGGCAGATCACTTTCCCACTAAAACAAAAGTTCACCAGACAATCCTAAACTCACGAGGTCTTATTTGACATTCTTTATACTTTGTAAAATTTATTTTATTTTATTTTTATTTATTGATTATTTCTTTTGCATTTTTGTTTTTGAGTTGATAGACTAGTCAATTAATTCATTGTGGATGCTTTTTATTTTATTTAATGTTATTTTTTTTATACTAAAGCTTCACCAAGGCAAATCCCCTGTGTGTAAGCATATTTGGCAATAAATCTTGTTCTTATTCTGATTTAGAGATTTTAAAAAAATTTTCTACTTAGCTGTCTCAAACTTAACCTGCCTTTTCACTACACCAGTTTACAGACATCGACGCAGCATAGACGACCTTTCATCACCAAAAGTGCATGTCAATCAAACTGAACGGCACATGCCTGTATCCCTTTAGCTTCGCCAGATTAGTTAACACAGAATACCTTAAGAATTAGAGATAACAAAAGCTGATGTTCGTTTGCTCACACTGCATCGGTGGACTGTTATTCTTGACACTTTCTCGTATGTGGCAGCTTTTCTCTGGCGGTTCCATTGACACTGTGTCTCTTTTTGAGCTCAGAAAATGCAGCTGTTGTCTCTCAGTAGGGACATTGAGGGTGGAGGGTATTCAGGAGTCCCTAACTTTGCCCTTTGACCCCTCTTTGCCTCCTTTTCTCTTTGATTTTAAAAGGGCCGTTCTACCCCCCACAAAGAGCCACTTTTCATACTGCAGTCTCACACACACAGTGGACAGAAGGGTGTTTTGAGCTCACCTCCCCACTTCAGACAAAAGTTTCAGGGGAAAAAGAGCTTCTCTGTGTCTTTCTCAGACTTGGTTTGCACAGTCCTGTAAGTCTAGCCTTCCGGTGAAATGCATTCAAATGAGTCAAATGAAGGTGAATCTTACCAAAACACGCCTAGGTCATTTCTCTCCAAGCTAAAAAGAAAATATAGTCAAATTCATTCAAAAGTTTAGCCTACTCTAAAATAAAATTTGGTGTAGGATTTACTTTTAAGTAAATTTTGAAGTAACCAGCAAGCAACGGCGCATTGAATTAAACATTTTGAAACTTTTGAATTAGAAAGACTGAAATAGTATTTTGTTGTAAAACAAACACCAGTAAACTCTGGTTTTAGTTTTATTTACAGCTTTATTTACAACCTTTTAAAAATCATTTTTAGGATAATTTTGGCTTGTGGCTAGAGCTGTAAATCAATTAAAACTTTAATTAATCAAAATTAATTTAAAATTATGATTAATTAATTGGATTAGCATGAATTACTCAGTTGGTAAGACAATTTCTTATTAAATTTACTCACTCATAAGTGGAAATGATTGTGTTAATTTTTTATTACTTTGTATAATTTGCTTTTAGATTTGTTTTTTTTTAATAATTCTGTATTTTTAATGATGCTTCTAATAAATGTAATTCAGCATAGGCCTATATATATATAATTATGATGTATACTATTTAAATCTTTTTTCTTTTTTGCATTATACTTATAAGCAGAGGTGGAAAGTAACGAATTACATTTACTCGCGTTACTGTAATTGAGTAGTTTTTTGTGTACTTCTACTTTTTAAAGTAATTTTAAAAATCTGTAATTTTACTTTTACATAAGTATATTTTGTTTGAAGTATTGTACTTCGCTACATTTTAAAACACATTGATTACTGAGAGAGAGAAAAAATCGCTCCCTGGAAACTATTGCAGTAAATAATGGGCAGGAGAGCAAACTGGAGCTAAAATCACAAGAAAGATGCAGACGGACAAGACAGGCGTTATGGTGCAGACCCAGCTGAAAATGAAACCCTGTCGCATTCTGCTGAAGTTGAACTCGAAGGAAATGAAGTGAACCCCTGGCTATATTTAAGCTCTATTATGCAGTGTAAGCTGTGTTTGCCAGGGGAGACCAAACTAGCAGCTTATAAAATCTCGACATCAACCCTTCGCAAGCATGTATAGTAGGGCTGCACGATTATGACAAAAATCATAATTGTCGATTATTCCCTTGAAATTGTAATTGCGATTATTAATTATGATTATCATAATTTACATTGAATGATGTTTATACCATTGCAACTGCATGCCGTATTTTTATATGAAAATAAACAAGCTGAAAACACTCTAACTGAAAAACTTTTAGTGCTTTTCTTTAGTATTAAGCCTCAAATGTCAACTATACATCGGATTGGTTTCTTCTTTAAATTATAAAAAAGTTAAAATATGAATGGTATTATAATGTTATACTAAAATTCAAATAATGGGAAAAACCCTTAAGATAACATGTAGAAAGAAAAAAAACGCATCTTAAGCACGCAGAATAACATAAGTGGATTAATTGCCGCTTTGAACGATTACGTAATTGTGGCATCCATAATTGTATAGGGAAGGTAAATACTTGCATCGTTGCATTGGTAGTTAAAATGAAGCTTTGTCCGTTTAGCAAGAGTTTTTGCACAAATTAGCCAAAAAGACAGTGGTGCGGAGTGTGCGATATATATCGTCTGCGATAATATCGTAATTGTTGTTTTAACGATGTGCGATTTGACATTATCAGTATTTTGCCAAAAACCAAACAAAACACTCCTATGGAGTGCCGTGGCGCTCGCACATTTAGACTGCATTCTTTCACTGCGTGATTCAGTCTGTTAAAATGCGTTTAGAATGATTACAAAATTGAAGATATAGGCGCAGATAATTTATATATTTATATAATTTCATATAGTAAATCAATATCAGATGAAGATTGCTGTCTTTTCCTCCAAAAATCAGCATGATTACATATATATATATATATTTTTTTTACAACAGTTCAATAAACAAGAAGTTAATTAAGAGACTTGCGTTTTAGACTCCATATCACCTGTTTTTGCTCTATTTCGAAAACAAAAATAATTCCAAACACAGTCACCATAGCACAGTTTTGTGTCTCTGAGCAACATGACAGTGTTTCGTTCCTGAATGAATCAACCGTTTAAATGATTCGGTTCAGTCGCAATGACTCACTTATTAACAGTGACTTGCTGACACCTACTGGCCGTTTTAATTTCACATTTGAAGTATCTTTAGATTTTTTCCCCCCTTATAATTTCAAATGAGTATTCAACATTTTATGTCTTGTATATCAAAACATTATTTCTGCATTTGTAACTGCAGGTTAAATGCATTCATGTCCTGCATTAAACAGTGTGTAATCTAAATGCCACTTCAGTTCAGATGAAGCTTCTGTGTTTCCTCTGCATTGTAAAGATTAATTTTGTTGATACTGATTTAATTTGCCTGGTAACAGCCCAAATGTCTTATTATTCTAAATAACTGATTCCTTTAATTAAAAACAACTAGTTTGAGATTTATAGGCCCATCCCATTTTTGCCTCCCTCCCACTGTTAAAAGTAATTTTTACTCTGAGTAAATTTTAAATGAGCTACTTTTTTACTTTTACATGAGTAGATTTCTAGACTGGTACTTTTACTTGTACTTAAGTAAAATTTCATTAATGTAATAGTACTTTTACTTGAGTAGAATATTTTCCTACTCTTTCCACCTCTGCTTATAAGTGTGAATTTAGGGAATCAATTCAAAAAAACAATTTTACTTTCTATTTTTCTATTTTTTAAACATTAAAATATAATTTATTATTACTGTCTTCTGACTTTGGGGTGAAATATGGCCCAAAATTGGTCTTGACACATAATATTCACCCATTTATGCAACCCTTATATATGTTGGAATAAATTATGTAGGCTATTCTTAAAATTAATTTTTACATGTCAGCAATACATGAGGTCATATGAAAGGGTTAAAGGCTTGACATCATTTGCTAAATGCATTTTCAAATCACACAATCATTAACATGCAAAGTTGCCTAGCAAACACTTGCTGTTTCATCTGTCAGACACAACTCGTGTGCTGATTGTGTGCGTGTTGTGTGTTTGTTGAATTAATGATGGCATGACTGTATTTCCTCACACACTTGGACTCCAGTCACATCAACCACAGGACAGTGATGTGATCTCATAGATCTTGCTTTATTTGTTTGCTCTTATATAGCAATAATCTGTACTCAGACCAGGTAACTTGCACTTGTACGTGAGAAATACTGAGGAGCTAGTGCAAATGTCTTATATTGACGCTTGCGGTGTCAAAACACACGAGGATCCACCCTCTCCCTGAAAGAGATTCTTTGTGTTGTGTCTCTCATGCTCACTTTCTGTCTGTGTCTCAGGGCTGGACGACAGTCTCCAGCAGTATGTTCCTAACTTCGAGAGGGAGAAGATCAGTGGAGAGCAGCTTCTGAAGATTTCCCATCAGGATCTGGAGGAGCTGACGATGACCCGCGTTGGCCATCAGGAGCTGATTCTGGAGGCTGTGGATCTGCTCTGCGCATTGGTCAGTACTTCAGCTCACTCAGATGCACTTTTCCCGCCACGCATCCAATCAGATTTCTTAAAGAAACCTTGTCCAATCAGATTTACCTCCATCAGGAAGTATATGTAGGTGCTGACCTTTGCTCTCCTTTCTTAAAGCATTTAGCATTAGCAATATTTAGGATGTGTACTATGCACAGTATGTAGATTTTCTGTATTCATAAAAAAAATTCAGATGACCTACTGAAGATTTGGCCTAAAATTGCCAAATTATGCAGTATATTTGCAAGAGTGTGTAGAATACTACTTTAGAGTATATCCTACAATGCAATGCGCTCATCTTGAATTTGCAGTTCCAGCGTGGCAACTTTCTTTACTCATTATTTGATTGCATTGCCAAATGTTATGGCATTTTACACAATTTAATAAAAAATTGAAATTGCCCTGATCTGACACTGGAAGAGCATGAGCTTTGTTATAGGTGGAGACTGCCGTGAACAGGAAAGCAGAGATTTCCCAGGCATTCCGATCAGCTGTTTTCGCTCACTTCCTTCCCAAGGTTTCTTCTCAACTTCCCCCACTCTCTTTTTTTCTATTCAGACAGTATTAATGACCACAGAATGCACCTTAAAACACATGGGGGACTAGAGGAACGCTCTGCCTGTATAAACCCGTGTGTGTTTTTGTGTGCAGTTAGCAAATCCAAAGTTGTAGACAGTGCTGATTTTTATCGCAGAAGCTGTGCTAGCTGCCGCTCTGTCCCAACATTGTGGTGGATGTGAATAGTGAGGGTCAGCTGGAACAAACAGTGTCCACTGTGTCCATTCAGAGTCTATTCTGTGTCAGGACGGGAGATTGAGAGAGGACCTTATAATAGGAGACTGCACCCTAAAGAGACACGGATGAGACACTTTCTGTTTCGTTGCCATTTCTGTGTAATTTGTTTGTACGTGAAATGGTACTTTTCGAAAGGAAGCTTATACGATGTGTAACAACATCAAATGTGTCTTAAAGGGATAGTTCACTCAAATGAAAGTTCTCTTTACTTAACTTCATGAAGTTCCAAACCTAGAGTATTAGGCAAAATGAGCCACATGGACACACACACACAAATTACAGATAAATCTAAAAATCGCAAATATTGATGATAAGTGTATGACAAATGTCAAGTCAAGTCACCTTTATTTATATAGCGCTTTTAACAATACAGATTGTGTCAAAGCAACTGAACAGCATTAATTAGGAAAATAGTGTGTCAATAATGTAAAATGACAATAGTAAAATTTTTCAGTTAAAGACAGTTCGTCATTGAATTCAGTGATGTCATCATCCAGCTCTGTTCAGTTTAAATAGTATCTCGGGTTGGCATCATCTGATGTGTCCATACGATTCATTTTGCCTTTTAATTAGTTTCCCTTTTTTTTGGACGGGGGGGATGGGAGTTAAATTCATATATTATTAATATAATTAATATTTAATACATTTTTATTACATTAAATCTAACTTGAAAGTAATTAAATTACAACACTGTTAAAATCGAACTAATCTTTAGCAAATCTCACAATTAATATCCATTATTGTACATATTAAACTGTACATTATTATGTTAAAATGCCTAAAGTCACTTAAAATGATTAATTTTGCTCTCAAATAATTCTATACCATTTTATCTAAACAAAATAAAAATAAAACACTAAAAATTCCAAAATTGTCACGACTCACACACTGGAGCACAGGAACGAGCGAGGAGACCAGGAATACCGTAAATCAGAAGGGTTTTAATGAAGGCATGCTGGGGATCACAGGACGGGAGACATCAGGCAAACAAAATGACACAACAGCAGACCGAGAACTGGGAACTGAGAACACTTTAAATACACAGACACCAATGGGACACACCTGGAAGCAAATGAACTAATTCATCAAAACACAGCTGGATACGAATACTCACAATGAGGACAGGAACAGGAAGGACCAAATAAAGTCAAGGAAGGCACATGAGGAGCAAAACACACACAAAACATGGACCAGAGTCTGACATAACTCCCCCCTCCCGGAAGGTGCGTCTCGTGCCGTACAACATCCAATGGGGAGGGGGTTGGGCGCTCTGGAGGTGCTCTTCAAATGGGGCAGGGTTACCGGACGCAAGGGCCGGCAGGGTTACCGGACGCAAGGCCTCCTGGACGGCGCCCGTCCGGGGATCCATGGTGGATCTGGCAGTTCGGGGTGCCATGGCGGATCTGGCAGCTCAGGTGGCCACGATGGATTAGGTAGTTCAGGAGGCCATGGCAAAGCAGCCTCCGAGGCTGCAGCCCCAGCCCCGGCCTCTATGGCTGGATCCCTACTGGACGCTGGAGCAACACTGGAGCGAGCTCCGGGGCTGGCAGGCTCGACTCATGAGCAGCCGGCGGGCTTGATTGAGGAGAGAGAGCCGCGGCCGGCAGGCTTGACATCGGCGTGGCCGGCGTGCCTATCTTCGGAGCGGCTGGAGAACTTGACATCGGCCTGGCCGGCGGCGGGCTTGTCTTCAGAGCGACCGGCAGGCTAGAGTGAGCCGTGGCCAGCGAACTTGACAACGGCGCAGCCGGCGAGCTTATCTTCTGAGCGGCCAGCGGGTTTGTCTTCAGAGCGGCCGGCGGGCTTAAGTGAGCCGCAGCCGGCGGGCTTAAGTGAGCCGCGGCCGGCGAGCTTCACAATGGCGAGGCCGGCACGCTTCACAGCAGGGCGGTTCTCATACTGCGGGGAGCAAATAGGAAAAACAAAAGACGAAAAAAAATAAAACACGGGAGAAGGAGCGCCGCTTACTGTTTAGGTCTGCTGTTCTGTGACAACTCACACACTGGGAGCACAGGAATGAGCGAGGAGACGAGGAATAACGTAAATCATAAGGGTTTTAATGAAGGCACGCTGGGGATTACAGGACGGGAGACAAAATGACACTTAACAGCAGACAGAGAACTGGGAACTGAGAACACTTTAAATACACAGACACCAATGGGACACACCTGGGAGCAAATGAACTAATTAATCAAAACACAGCTGAATATGATATAATATATAAAAATATGTTTAAGATTTATGTATTTGAATTGCATATAACATTTCCATCCGTTTGGATTATACAGTTTTAATATAAACTAAAAAACTTATTGTGATGCATATTTGTAAGTAATACATAAACGAAACAGGTAAGATTTACACACTCAGTTCAGTTAGTTAAAAATATAGATGATTGAGATATAGAGATAGAAAGAAATTGGATTTAATAATGTTAAATATATAAACCTTGTTATTTTGTTTTTAAAAGACATTCAGCTAATTAGTACCATTACAGAAATTACCTGTTTTTTTTTTACCAGTTTCAATACTTTTTTGTTAGTGTTTTCATTTGTTTAGACTAAATTGTATAAAATTAGTATTAGTAATATTATTAATATCATTGTATGTTGTATGTTGTTTGACAGCACGTGGTCATCATCATATGCAAGAAGTAAGAAATTCATACAGGTTTGGAACATGTAAGCGTGCAAATGACAACAATGAGTGAACTAATCCTTTATATCCGTCCATAATTGTACACAAATTGTACAAAAGGTGTGTTTCTTTGGAAGAACACGCCTGCTGCAAACAGTAAACGGAAGCTATGTGGTTTGATGTCGGAGCTCTACCTGTCAGACCGGGTGGCTGCTCACAAGGATGTGGTTGAGAAAAGATTTCCCTCAGTCGTTTTTCGTTTGTTTTTAAGCGTCACCTGTTCTAGGCAGCACTGAGCGGAGAACCACAGAGGAGCTGTAGCATGAAGGCTGGAATAGACAATGCGGTGTTGAATTTGTGAGAGGTCCGCTCTAGCACTCGTGGGTAGAATGTTCTGGAAGATATCTCCTGAAGAGCAGGAAACAGATGTGACCCACCCACCTGTCAGAGAGCCCCCCGCCCAACGCTCGCACACACACAAACCCATACAGACAAACACACAGTAACCAGCGCAGGAAAACATGTCACGCCATTGTTCCAGTAGTTTCCGCCCAGCCTCATCTTAACCCTGTGTATCTGTTCGGTCTCTGGTTATTTTTAAAATCGCTTTCATGAGTGTTAGGGGACGTGCTAAACTCCCCAACTCTCTGTGGCTCAGCGGTAAAGTGCCATAGTTTAGTACAATATAAGACAGACCTAAAAATGTCTCATCTGGAATCCAATACATGTCCATTGATAGAAGAGTCTGAGCAATTTCAAACTCTTGACAGAAGATAGAAGAGTCTAATGGACTATTGATAGAAGAGTCTGAACAGTTGGAACTTGGGATCTTGTTTTGACTCCTGCACAATTGCGAATTTATATTTGTGACCCTGGAGCACAAAACCAGTCATAAATAGCACAAGTATATTTGTAGCAATAGCCAACAATACATTGTATGGGTCAAAATTATCGATTTTTCTTTTATGCCAAAAATCATTAGGATATTAAGTAAAGATCATGTTCCATGAAGATATTTTGTAAATTTCCTACTGTAAATATATCAAAACTTCATTTTTGATTAGTAATATGCATGGCTAAGGCATTAATTTGGACAACTTTAAAGGCGATTTTTTCAATATTTAGATTTTTTTTGCACCCTCAGATTCCAGATTTTCAAATCTTGTCCAAATATTGTCCTATCCTAACAAACCATACATCAATGGAAAGCTTATTTATTCAGCTTTCAGATGATGTAAATCTTCATTTAATAAAACTGACCCTTATGACTGGTTTTGTGGTCCAGGGTCACATTTTACTATTGCGATTTAATATTTCTCCTGGTTTTACCTATATGTGACATTTGCGACTGCGACTTAATATCACAACTGAGACTTTTGATATATTCAATACTGTTTTAGAATTGTGATTTACTTTATTTCGTTCGACTTTGTTGCTAATAATTGCAAGTTTATCTTACATTGTAACATTGTAGAGCTCCCTGAAAAACTATGCGCAAGTGCACCGAGGGCAAAAGCTGCTTTAAACGCAAAGGGTGCTCACACCAAATGTTGATTTAATTTAGTTAATAGAAGTTAATTGATAAAGAAAATCTATTTATGACATTATTTTTACGACATTTTACAGCATTTGTGCCTAAAACTTTTAACAGTACTGTAGCTTTGCAGGTAGGTCTCCTGAAGCATCTTGGAGATGTCACCACAGTTCTTCTGGATTTAGTCCGTCTCAGTTTGTTCTGTTTCTTCATGTCACTCCAGACAGACTGATGATGATCAGATCAGATCTCTGTGTGGAGCACTGGCTTAAACAGATCCTACAGTCTGTGTGAGATTCTGCTTATAATTTATATTATTCCTCCTCATCTTCGAGGAGGGCAGCATGAAATGAATATCTGGAGGATGGACTTCCCTTTATCATTCCTTTAATAATTCAGCCATCATGAACTCATCAGAGCTAAAGCTTCGTTGTAATACAAAAACAACAGAAGACGATTCCAGAAGAGCACCTGCATCCTTCCTGAACTCAGTGAGGTTATTCCCTCAAGCACCTGTATTATTCTGTGTTGTTGCAGCTGACCAGGCCAAAGTCTGTGCACTTTTTGGCCGACTTCAAGTCCATGCAGACAGTCTGTCGGTCAGTGTCTGGCTGGGTTTAGAGCAGAGACGGTTTTCTGGAATTCCTTTGAAGTCAGGCAGTGACCATGGGATTTTTTAGCTGGAAAGGTTGTGAAAATGACCCGTGCGCTGTAGCCACTGTCACATGGCATTACAAACACCACATACTTCACTTTTCATATCACTAAAGTGGAAGATACACAAATGGAAACTGCTTTAGCGCTTGATAAGCCAGGCATTTATTAATGGTACTGTCAGCATCACTATTATTATTACTTAGGTTTAGGGGTTTTGTCCAAATCCAAAGTTTTAAACTTCAGCCTGACAATAAAATGGGACAACTTGCCCCAATTTACTGCATCTGTAGAGTACTTCAAATCTTAAAAGTGTATTTTTAAAAACTGTACACTTTCATGACCTTTTTTTAAACACACTTAATTGCACTTTTAAAGAGTGTACTTTTGCAAGTTTTACTTTAAAGTACATTTTTAAATGTTTTAATAATATTTTAATTTGCTTTAAAGCACTACACTTATTTTCACGTGTTGACAAACAGATTTTAGCTGTAGTGTGTCATTTAAAATTATATATTAAGTTAGTATATGTAGTAAACTAAAACTTTATCATTACAAATGTGTAATTACAAATGTATTTAAATACATTACATACAAAGATCCATAGAAATTATGTTAAAGTATATTTTAGTTTGATCATAAACGCTCAGCAGTTCACGTTAACCATATTTCAATGACAACAAGTGGGTCAAGAAGCACTGTAAAGTTCAGCTAATTGCATTTAACATAAATTGAAACTATAATGCATTTTCATTAAATTGCAGTTAACATGCTACTGTATTGAGTGTCTGAAAACATTACGTTCAGTTTGCACTTGAAGTGATAGTTCACCAAAAAAAGAAAATTCAGTCATCATTTACTTCCCTCATGTTGTTTCGAATTTAACAATATGAGTAACCTAACAATTGATGGTCCCCATTGACTCCCATAGTAAGGAAAAAAATACTATGGAAGTCAATGAGGACCATCAATTTTAAGTAAATATTTTTTTAAGCATTTAATTTCTGTAAGAAGTACTCTTTTTAGAGGTAGGCTAAAGTGTACTTCTTTTTCACAAGAGTATCTACATACTGTATCTATCTCTCTATCTTTCCTAGAGACTTGGGCTCTCTCAGAAAGCAACCATCCTGGTAATTGCATAGAAACGTGCTAAAAGCACTCATAGCACTTTAGTAACACCTAATACCGTAGCATTGTGTCATTGACTTTTGAATGGAAAAGGACCACTTTGTTTAGATGAAAAATCTAGTTTAATCTAAAATGACTAATGCAAATGCTTATTTGTTGTTGCAGAACTGTGGCGTGGAGACTGATAACTTGAAGACTCTGGTGTGCCAGATGCGAGCAGCATCCAATAACTTGCACAACTGTGCCTCAGAGCGCAGGAAAAACCCTACTTATGATGGAGGAAGTCCATACAAACCACCTAACGTGTTCCTCACCGCTGTGGTGGAGCTGATAGCGGCTGCCAAGGGCATGCTGGCCTGGCTTGACAGGTATGTGAGATTTTCTGTCTCTTACAGACTTCACCTACAAGGAATGTTCCAAGCACTTTGGCTAACGTAATGTAAAGGCTGTGCAAATGTTTGGAAGAAATGTTCTTAAAATAGTGTTAACAGGACTGTGTTACAAGAATGTGTAAATGTTAGGAACAAATATTGGGACAGTTCACTCAAATTAAAATTCATCTACTCACACTCAGTTTGTTTCTATCTTGAATGAGTTGCTTTCTTCTGTTGAACATTAACTAATAGCACTTACTAAATACATTGAGAGAACGTTTTGAAGAATTTTATGCTAACTCACCTAATAAGGAATGTTTCAACAACTTTGGCTAACATTATTAAAGGGTTTGTAAATTCTCACATTGTAAGTTCTCACAATGTGAGAAAAGAGAAAACATTTGTTTAACATTGTTCAAACGTCTTGAATTATATTCTTTAAAGGGGTCCTATTATGCTTTTTCACTTTTTCAACTTTAGTTAGTCTGTAATGTTGCTGTTTGAGCATAAAAAAGATCTGCAGAGTTACAAAGCTCAAAGTCCACTTCAAAAGGAGATATTTTATTTAACAGAAATCACTTTTCAAAAACTACAACGAACGACTCGTTTGGACTACAACGCATATTTGCCGGGATTTGTGATATCACACATATCGACGAATGGGACGAGACCTGGTTGAGCTGCACTAGAGAAGACAACGAGTGTTATCACTATGTCGGAGACACGCTAGCTTTCCCAAGGCAGACGAACTTAGAGTGGTTACAATCATCCTTCTTTAAACTGCGCTCAAATTGATTTGATATATTCAGTATTCACACTTCAGTATTTACACTGAAGCTCGTAGGTGGCTATAGTAAGGGGCATGACATTCCCCGACCAGCCGCCGAGTGCTGCCAATCACAACACACACTGGCCCAGCTAACCAATCACAGCACACACTGGCCCAGCTAACCAATCACAGCACACACTGGCCCAGCTAACCAATCACAGCATACACTGGCCCAGCTAACCAATCACAACACACACTGGCCCAGCTAACCAATCACAACACACACTGGCCCAGCTAACCAATCACAGCACATTTTGTATTTCAGAAGGCGGGCCTTCATTTGATACAGGAACTATTCGAGCCGTTCATGTCAGACTGGGGAGAGAGGTGTTGTAATAGTGTAAAATATGTGAAAAATAATGTTTTTTTAACAACCTAGTATGAGAGCCTGTTCTAGTACACCCCCAAAACAAAATCAAGACTTTGTAAAAGAGCATAATAGGACCCCTTTAATTAAAGGGTTAGTTCACCAAAAATGGAAAACACTGTCATTAATCATTCACCCTCATGTCATTCCAACTAAAAGTGACACTGACTCTGGTTTTTTAAGTTTAATACTGTAAAGCTGCTTAATTTAAGGCTATCTATTTCAGAAAGTACTATATAAATAAACATGACGTGACTGGACTTTACTAGAGTACCGAACTGCAGAGCTTGTGCAAACATCCACATCGCTGTAATTAAATGTGTTCTTAACTGCTGCTTTCTCACCGCTGTCAGTTTTTGTTGTCAATAACTTTTATTAGTAAAATAGCTTCGACAGGCTACTGACATTATATTTCTCTGCAATGAGGTGGTAAAATCGCTGTTTTTGAAGGAACTAAGCCTCATTGCTTGTAGAGAGAGATGCGCAGACGCAGGTTCACACACGCAACTTTCATCTCTCTCTCTCTCTCTCTCGCTAATTCAAATAAATGATATAGTTAGCCTAATTAATTCAAATAAATGCGATCTTACCGCACTGCATCTCTGTGTCTGATTTAAAGCAGGCCGAATGCTAACGAGCCTTAACTGACGAAAATAACCATAATTTGCACAATGGAAGAATTATCGTCTTGTCGTAGGCCTATACAACCATTCAAAAACTCGGCAGAATTTATGTGACCGCTGCACCTAGTGTTCAAACTTTCATAACTGGTAAGTGTTTTTCTTTTGCCTTGTGAACTGGCCGAGCCTTAATGATTCTGTTTCTTTACGTGTATTTGCTTACTGACGATTGCATGCAATCGTGAAATACAGCATTTTTTTAAATTGGCTTTTCGTTGTGGGGAAAAAAAGATTTCGGGTTCGGGTTGGGTTCGGGCTCTAAATTGAACTGTGCCGCTCGGGTCGGGTCGGGTCAGACGATCTCGGGTACGGGCTTCACTTTAAAGGCCGTGCAGACCTCTAATCCAGGAAGGCTGGATGACAGTCTTGCGCTATAGCGCCACACTGGTCAAACCGCATTATTGCAGGCTCTTACATTAGGTCATCAAACGACTACTCGACAGCAAAAATATTTGTCGACAATTTCAACAATTTTGTTGATAATGTCGACTAATCGTTTCAGCCCTAATAGACAGCAATGCAACTACCACATTCAAGGCCCAGAAAGGTAGTAAGGACATCGTTAAAATAGTCCATGTGACATCAGTGGTTCAACCGTAACTAAGTATTGGTTCAAATACTTTTTTTCCCCGCAAAAATAACAGCAAATTAATAGGCTGACAAATTCAATGTTATGCAACCTTCATGTAAAGTTCTATTCACGCTAAGAAAACTTAACATTTCCAGTGAATCCACAACCAAAATCTTATGTTTGGAAAACATATTTAGGACAACAGTTCAAGCTCGCTACAGTATTTTCATTCTAGATATGGGTTGTAGTACAGAGGGCCTTGTAAGTTATTGACAGGGTTTTTAAATGACTGCAAATAAATTTCAGCATCACATTTTTTTACTGGCAGGTGTCTCACCAACTATTGTTTTGGATTTTGTGTTCAGTCAAAACACTTTAAATCTTTCCTCGTGATGTCATGCAGGCTGCTGACATACAGACACACGCGTACATATATGTAGACTGCATGTTTGGGCTTGAAACGACACATACCAGAATTTGCAAACGTGTGAACATCTCATGAGCTTTTGAATGAGTTACACTTGTTCTCTTTGTTTTTGTCTGCAGGACTCCCCTGAGAGGAATCAGTGATTTCACTTCAACCAAAAACAAGATCATTCAGCTCTGTCTGGAACTGACCACAACTGTCCAGAAGGTTTGTCACTGTGTTCATTAGCTTTGATCTCCTAGTCAAAACTTTGCAAACATTCACTGTACACTGAAAAAAAAAGTTAACCCAAAAATGGTTACCAAAAATCTAAATTAAGTAGTTTTATTAAAGTAAAAAAAAAATATGACATCACTTATAGGGTTAGTTCGCCCAAAAATGAAAATTAGCCCATGAATTACTCACCCTCAAGGCATCCTAGGTGTATATGACTTTCTTCTTTATAGTTATATAAAAAATTGTCTTTGATCTTCCAAGCTGTTTAATGGCAGTCAGCGGGTGTTGCAGTGCATCAGTCCAAAAAAAGTGAAATAAAGTGCATCCATCCATAATAAAAAACGCCTCACACGTCTCCGGGGGGTGAACAAAGTACTCCTGTACCGAATCGATGCGTTTTTGTATGAAAAATAACCATATTTAAAACGTAATAATGAATTTAATTTAGCTTGCGCTCACTGTTGTAAATGGAAGAAGTTCCGGGCGGATGACGTAAGATGTCAGCATTGCGCATGCGCCGCTCAGAAGTGACGAACGCGGAAGCACAGGAGAGATCAAAAACAAAACACGGTCAAGAGGAGACTGGTTTTTCTTTGCTAAAGTAAAGAAACGTTGCTTCCTTTGCTCCTGTTAACAAACGTTGGTTTTCATGAGACTCACCGGCGCATGCGCAACGCTGAACTCATACGTCATCCGCCCGGAACTGCTTCCGTGTACAACAGTGAGCGCAAGCTACATTAAAGTGATTATTACATTTTGAATATGGATATTTTTCTTACAAAAACGCATCGATTCGCTACAGGAGGCCTTTGTTCATCCCCCGGAGCCGTGTGAGACACTTTTTATTATGGATGGATGCGCTTTATTTCACTTCTTTTGGACTGATGCATGCAACACCCGCTGACTGCCATTAAACAGCTTGAAAGATCAAAGACAATTTTTTATATAACTCCAACTGGATTCATCTGAAAGAAGGAAGTCATATACACATAGGATGCCTTGAGGGTGAGTAAATAATAGGCTAATTTTCATATTTGGGTGAACTATCCCTTTAACCAACCTATATACATCAATTTATACCAACAAAACCAAACTTTTTTTATTTGGTCTATAAGGTAAAAAGTGCAGGTTGTTATGCACACATTTTAATTAGCCAAGTTTGTATTAAACTTCCATTATATTCCATTAAAAAACAGTATTTTAATAATAATTTAATCATCATTTCTTTTTGAAATATGATTTTTTAATTTTATAATTACTTTCATAATTGAATTATTCCATTTGTATAGAGTGCACATTTTATTTTATTATCCTTTTTGTAACTTTCAGTAAAATTGTGAAAATAGTTATTAAATGTAATGCATATCTTACCAGGGTTATTATCATTAACTAAAACAAAAAACAGAAAAAACTTGAAATAAAATAAACATGAACTTAAATAAAATAAAATTTTAGTTAGTTGCTAAAGTACTAAAATAACTAAGACTAAAATAAATAAATAAAATAAACTAAAACTAATAAATAAAAATTAATAAACATTGTATATACATATAAAAAAATAATACAAATGATAAAAACAAAATAAAAAAGTCAAAATATTAACAAAACTATATCAGTGATACTTAAAAAAACTGCATCTTACTTGTTAACTTTATATAATATAAATTTAAATTTATCATTTACATTTTATATATCGTATTAGACTTTTTTCTGAATTGACCATTAAAAAACATACTGACCACTTCTCAAGACTCATACATTAAATTCTGTTACGTTAAAATATCTAGCTGCATTTAAACACGTGTCCACATAACAGAAATACATGAATACACACACACACACAAACATAAACACAAAAAAATGTCTCTTGTGTGAACAGCTTTTATGGTCAGATTATTTGACAAACAAAACATGTAAATAACATTTAATTAAAACAGATAGTAATTTGCAAAAATGTCTCATGATCAATTAAATGCAACCTCTGCAAATAAAAGTAAATAAAAAGTTTTCAAACTGAACAGTAGTGTATTGAGGTACGTCTTGATGAACTCTTTAAGCACACAGATGTCTCCTGAAGCACAGAGAAACATATGGTTTTACTGAGCCGGAGCTCAGCGGGGATGGGCAGCTCATAACTGTGATCGATGTCTCTGCTCTGCTTTTGCTCTTCATAGTCTCAAGCGCCACAACCCTCAAACTCTGCAGCAATTATCCTGTCAAGCTTGTCTTTAAATCATAATTAAACACTGGCGATAGGCCCTTCTCCATCTATTTGTCAGCACATTCCATATTTTCAATCCTCATATTACATTTCTTAAATACTTTCTTTGGTATTTTGATTTCATGTTTACCATTCCATATTTTCCTGTGGGAACTCAACATAATGTGGCATCTCATGCGAATCCTCCCTTTTTAATTGAAGGACTGCACAGTGTTTGAAATGGAGGAGAAGATATTAGAAGTGGTAAGTAGAAAGTCTTGTCGTCAGTTATTTCTCACACCGCAGATTTATCGTTCAGGCATTTAAATGTCTCTCAGGTCAGAGATTCAGCTGTTATCTGTGATGCATTTGGGTTCATTTTAAGTGTGGAGATGCAACTCTATTGTTCAGTTCGAGATGTTTTCCTTAGGAACCACTGGAACATCCTTTGGTAGATAACAGTATCTCACAATCTCCATTAAAGGAATGTTCCGGATGCAATATAATAACTTTGACAGTTTGTAAAAACAAGCATAAATTGGGTTAAAACTTACGATGAAAATATATGGTGCAAGGCATTGCTTTGGAATAAATGTTAAAATACACATAACATACAAAATTCTGGTATTTTAGCTTAATATGCTGAGTGTGCAAGTGAAACGGAATAAGTTACAAGATATAATATTGAGCAGTGCTTCATTTGATCCTTTGGGATTTTATTGGATTTGATAAGTCAGCCCCATGTCTTTTTCTGCAGATGAAAGAAAGTCATATGAGTTTGGAAGAACATGAAATAAGAGTTTTCCTTTTTGGGTGAACTATCCCTTAAAGTAAATCAGGTTAACTTTGACGTCACGGTTTCATCCAGCCAGCCTCAGTCTACAGTGCATGTACAAGAGATTATGCTGTGCACATCATGTCTGGCTTTAACAGAGTGCAGATCTTTCTGGAAGCCACTAGAATCGCCTCCTTTTGTGTAAATGATCTCTAACTGTGTGCATTTGTTCTCTAGTACATAGTAAACAAATGCAATTTGACATTTGCATCACAAATGTCATTCTGATATAGTAAACTTGCTCGATAGCCCACCCGGTACAGCATTGCATTTGCGATGCAGAGCACTCGGGTAGGAATCCCATGAAATTAATCATGATAAAAGAGCTTAAAGAAGAGTAAAAGCATGCTAAAGTGGCATCATGGTTGGGTCAGCAAATGCGTTTTTATCATACATTTGCGTAATAAAATACCATAATATTTTCGCATAAATGTTTTTGCAATGAGCCTGGGATGTCCAGTCACTTATGAAGTCCTGGATAAGTTATCATGACCAAATGAATCATAAATACCACAACATTATTCTTTCTGTTCATTTCAGTCACGTGTTTTGACTGGCATTTGTGATTCCACCATGAGGATCACCTCTGACCCCTTAAAGAGTCAAATGACCTGTTTGGAGGAAGTCACCATCACTAATATCAAAGCAGACGAGGGACTGGTGAGTGTCAACAACCTAAGACCTGTTGGTGTTGTTTTGCCTGTTGCTTAACAACTGCGTATTGTTTGCTTATTTTTTAAAGGGAATGTATATCAAATCCACTTATGATGGACTGCACGTCATCACCGGAACCACGGAAAATGTGAGTCAACAGAACAACATCGCTTTGACTTGTTGCTGTTAATGCATCAATGTCCAGCATCATTCAAGCCACAGTCTGTGACTAATGGAGTTCACATGCAAGCATTGCTTCAATTGATTCATGATGTCTGTCTGTGTTTCACCCTTCAGTCTCCAGCAGACAGAACTCAGAGGATTCATGCAGGCGATGAGGTGATACAAGTCAACAGACAAACAGTGGTGAGTCCATCCATCTGTCACATGATAGTGAGGAGGATTATGAGTAATTGTTCTGCCCTAAAAGAGTGAAAGGAGGCAAGATGGTGAGCTTTTGTGTTAGACTGAGTAAACCTGATCCATGGGAGAGAGAGCGGGAGATATGTGCTGAAAGGCCTTTTGGATAACCATATTGTTATGAACACCTTTATCAATGTTTTGGATCAGTGCTGTTTTTTATTCACCTCATATTTACAGAGAAAGCATTGGGTTGGTGCCGACCCATTTGTGTTTGTACAACATAAAGCTATTTGACTACATTTGCTCAGCTACAGTAGGATCAACTTTTCCCCATTTATGATCGTTTATGTCCAGGTTTGGTTTGTGCACTTGTAGTATATTTATTAAAAAAAAGATAATATTAATATAGTGAAGGCACTTTAGCATACTTAGGGCCAGATTTACTAAATGACAAATTAGCGTTAGAGTGCAATTCCATAAAAGCGCCGATGGGAGGGGAAAATTCTGCAGGTGATTTACTGACAATAAGCACATTAAAGAACACATACGCAACATCTCATTTACATATCGACCAACGCAATCTACCAAGAGCAGTACAAATTACCGCTTGCTTTACGACAAGCTTTTTTTGGGCATTAAATAATGCCGCAAATACCAGTGAATTGACGAGCGCAAATCTTAGTAAATCGCGTGATTCATTAAAATAAATGCTAAATTCAATTCAATTCAATTCAAGTTTATTTGTACAGCGCTTTTCACGATACAAATCATTGCAAAGCAACTTTACAGCAAATTAAGTTTCTACAAAATTTAGTGGTAGCTTATCAGTGGTGACTGTCAGTCAATGTACATAAATCTTTGTTGCAATAATCTTTTGTCATGTTTTAAAGAAGTACAATTATTTTAATGTTTTTATATTTCTGTCATGACAACTCTCGGAGGGATTGGCATGGTAATGTACATGACAATGTTAATGTATTTGGTCTTGGCGGAATAGATCTGCTACACTGCTGCTGCTGCGGCAGAGCAAGTACCGAGACTTGCTACTGCCAATACATCCACAACATGCTGCTGTGAGCATGTAAGAAATATTGCTGCTGCAAATATAACATACATGAAATAACCCCCATATAGCAAACATGAATCACCTAATAAGCAGATCTATACAGGTGGAGCTGGGGAAGGTGGAGGGTTTCTGAAGAAAGCTGCAACTGCTATGGCAAGCACTAGTCATATATTTGAATGTTGAGCAGCGAGCTCATTGGCTACCGATACAGGAGAGAACCAATCAGCTGTGCCATGTGATAATGATGTCATTAGGTCAGATTGAGTTAGACCTATCGGACTGCGCCATCTAGAGTTTCATGCCAGAACTCTGTATTTGTAACTGTAGTGTCTTAGCAGATATAATACATAGCAGATTTGTATGGTAGGATACCAAGGGTTCACACAAAACAAGGGAAGTCCGCTTTTAGTTATTATGCCACCCGCAGTTGGAATCAGCTTCCAGAAGAGATCAGATGTGCTAAAACATTAGTCACATTTAAATGCAGACTCAAAACTCACCTGTTTAGCTGTGCATTTATTGAATGAGCACTGTGCGATGTCCGAACTGATTGCACTATATTTTATGTATAATCATGTTCTATTCTTAACTGTTTTAAATTCATTTTAAACCTCTTAAATCGATTTTTAAATCATTATCAAAGTTTTTAAATTCCTTGTTTTATTATTTTTAGTATTATTATTTTCTTTTCTTTTATGTAAAGCACTTTGAATTACCATTGTGTATGAAATGTGCTATATAAATAAACTTGCCTTGCCTTGATATTACAGTTAAAGTTAATTTATTTTAAATATAAATTGCAACTGCATCATTACAAACGTGTAATTAAAAGACATACACATTTCAATAGAAATGACATTAAAGTATGTTTTAGTTTTTTAGAAAAAAAATTAAACACTTGATCTCTTTGTGTGAAATAAAGTTTCAAATAAATAAAAGAACATTTAAAAAATACTATTTAAAAAACTCACGTTGAGACAAAATCACATTTATTCGAAATACAGTTGCAGTTGTGAAAAATACAGCTATTTATTGAAGAAAATAAGATATATGCAATCATGAGAAATTATGATTACAATTATGAGAACTTAAGCAATTACAAGCAGTACAGGAACAATTATGAGAAAGTCGTAGATACAAGAAATGAAGGTAACAGTCACCCATAAACAGATGTACTGCTTTCTTTTTAGGTGGGCTGGCAGTTGAAGAATCTGGTGGAAAAGCTCAGAGAAGATCCTCAGAATGTGACACTGATGGTGAAGAAAAGACCATCAGGTACCTGCGGCTTCGCACCAGCACCGCTGAAAAACATGCGCTGGAGACCCCCTGTCATCCAGGTACTGCCCTCATTCTCCTATAGTTTAGCCTCTCAGGAAGCTTTTGTCTGAAAAAAAATATCATAGTTTACACAAAATATTAAGCAGCACAACTGTTTCAAATCAATCTGAAATGTTTTTGAGCAGCAAATCAGCATATTAGATTGATGTCTGAAGGATCATGTTGCACTGAAGACTGGAATAATGATGCTGAAAATTCAGCATTGCATCA